CACGCCCGACCGTCCGCAGCTAACTAGAGTACACACTCCCCGCTGTGTTACGGTCCCATGGTCATGATGTTATCATTGGTGCCAAAAGCCGCTCTGATTGTGCTTCAATCCACGCCCCGCAACGCGTGCTATCGTCTGCAGAAAGCATGACTGTTTATGGATTGGAGTCGGATGCCAGATAATCACGGTGTCTTTAAAGAAATCTAATCGCTGAAGTTAGGCTCCGTTCATACTTTGGGTCAGCGTCCAGAGTCTACGGCAGCGTTTTGAGCGACTAGGCAATCATAGATATCGATCTAGAGTTTCCAGCGCAGGCCAGCGTTTTGAGCGCTTCGCGGATAGTTTTGAACTGGTTCGCGGGCAGTTGCTGAAATCGCTGGCTCACACTCAAAACGCTAGATCGATATCCATACTTTCCTAGTCGCTCTTCACTGTCGCTTCGTCGGACATTGAAAGGCAAAAAGGTTCCAAGCAACCTTTCTTGCACCCAGTCTTCTACACCTTGACAAATCTTCTATTAATTTCACACCACTGGGATTCCTTTTCAATATGGGTAAATGGGGAATTGCATTGAGTGCTGTGGAAACGTGATGTGATGGAAGTCCTGCACTATATACTACAGGACTTCCCTACATCTACGCTCCGTTGAGATTTCGAGAGTGGAGTGTGAGACCACTGCCTAAGACGAGTCCGCCCACGAGTTTGCTGATGGGCGCTAAAAAAAGCGAACGCCACGCTCCATGGTGGCCGCAAGCCGGTTCTGCGAGAAATTACGTGTCGTAGAAAGTCGTCTGCAAATGCGGTAACACCTCACTTGACGCCAAACTCGCATTTAGCTTCTAATCGTTGTCGCGCTAAAAGTGCTGCTTCATTGCTTTGAGGAGCTCATTTTATGTTCATTTCTTGGTTGCAATAGGTACGAATGGGTCTTCACTAGCGCTAAAGCTCCTGTTCTCCACATATATGGGTGTTCGTACGCCACATGCGTCGTGAACAGATATTCGTCGTCGTTGGGAAACCTGTTCTCGAATGGTTCCAGTTTTACTTGTTCGGCTCCCATGCGGTGTTCTATTTGAATCCAACTCCCTGATTTTTGCTTTTTCCTTTTTTTGAAAACATTGCCTTTGTCTTGAAGTGCCACTTGCCAAACCAATTTTCAGATTTTTTGACATGCTGTGGTCCTTTTTGGAAATATCTGGTGGAAGAAGTATATTATTCTAATTATTTGCTTGTCTGCTTGCCATAATGGCTGAACGTCCTGCCGAGTTGAACGTCGACGTCGACGTTCCGCAAGCAAATCAACAGCAAAATCGAAACGGCGATGCAAGAGCTCAGGCACAGGTTTGGTAACTTTTCACTCTTCTTTGCACAAATCTCCCGGTTATAACCTATTTGAGGGGGGAGGAGGAAGGCGAGCACGTGGAAGACTGCTCTTCCTTCTGCTCCTGCTCCTCGATGTTTCAAACAACACATAAAATATCCTCAGCACATTTCAGACGGGAAATTGGTCAGTTTCGATAGTAAAGGTGAAGTGCATACAGTGCGTAACAAAAGTATGTGGACACCTCAAATTTTTGTCCTGCAATTGCCTTTGAATTTTGCGATATGAGACCTTTATTGTTGAATTCCTCATAAGCGAAAACATAGGAATACACTACTTCTGAGCACTTTGTGAACTACTGTACAATTATTTATTGTTTTGAAAAAGTTTCTTAATAACAAAAGTATGTGGACACCTGAGGAAGTCCAAAGTTTGGCTCCAGATCTGCAATCCATTTTTATGGTCTCTAGTCCCCATTAACCTGTACTCATGCCTCGTCGTGGTAGTCCTCTCCTACGAAGACGAACAAGCTCGGATTCGAGCTTTCAGTGCTGCAGGACACTCGAATAGAGAAATTGCAAGATAGCTTGGACTTTCGGCGACGTGCGTTGGTATACCTCCAGAATCCTGATGGCTACCACTCAGTGCCTGTTTCGAGGCACCCACGATCTTTGTCCGCAAAAGACATCAGAAGAATAGCCTCAAACTCCCCGCTTTCTGTGGCACAGATCCATGCCGCGATGAATCTACCGGTCTCAAAAATGACAATATGGCGCTCTATTCGATCAAGTGAGCACATCACTCGAGAGACCATGAAGAAAGCTCCCTGTCTGACTGCCAGGCACCAGCTGGCAAGACTGAACTTTGCGCGTGCAAAAATGGCGACGTCGTGGGACAAGGTGCAGTTTCTTGAGATATTTGTAAAATCAGAAAGGCAACATCTTATGCGCATTTCTTTCTTAGGTTATCTTCACTGATAAGAAAAAGTCAATCTCGACGGTCCAGATGGATATCAGCATCACTGGAAAGGCCTTTGTAGCGATCCGTTGGTGTTCTCGAGACGAAATTTCGGAGGCGCCTCTTTGATGGTACGGGGTGGTTTTGGAAGCAGAGGAAAGTTGGAGCTTGCCTTCCCATCGTGCTGTATGAACAGTGAGGAATACCAAGGAGTGCTTGAGTCTAACCTCTTGCCTTTTCTGAGCGGGCCACGACGACACATGTGATGCAGCAGGACAACGCCGCCGTGCATGTTTCAAATTCTACTAGAAAATGGCTCCAGCGCAATTGTATCAAAGTGATTGATTGGCCGGCGTGTTCTCCTGACTGCAACCCAACCGAAATCCTGTGGGGAATCATGGTTCGACGAATCTACATGAACAGTGGGCAGTACAACAGCGTGCGAGACTTGAAGGAGGCAATAGTTGCTGCATGGGAGGAAATCGACGAAGACACCATGACAAATCTTGAGACAGAATGTTCGAAGTAATAGTGAACACTGGAGGAAGAACCAACTTCTATTTTCCACGATACATTTGTTTTTTGTTAAGTGTCCACATACTTTTGTTATTAAGAAACTTTTTCAAAACAATAAATAATTGTTCAGTAGTCCACAAAGTGTTTAGAAGTAGTGTATTCCTATGTTTTCGCTTATGAGAATTCAACAATAAAGGTCTCATATCGCAAAATTCAAAGGCAATTTTGCAGGACAAAAATTTGAGGTGTCCACATACTTTTGTTACGCACTGTATATCCACTGTGAAGTATGGTTTTCGCTGCACATCTTCTGCCCTTCCAGTTTGGGAGGGTGCTGTTAAACTGAGTTGGCACGATAAGGCCCTAAGACGAGTAGGATTGATGCGCCTAGCAGGAGGGAATTCAGCACTGAGCAGGCACTGTGTAGCGCCTTTTCCAGGGAAGGTACCCCTATGAGACCCTACCAGGCCGCAACGCACCAACCCGGGCGCCCGCCCGCCCACAAATGCACGACCGTACTTGATGCTCGTTTTGCTCCATCATGGATATCTGAGTACAGACATGCAGCTTATCCAACGTAGCGGTTAATGGCCCATGCCCACGGGGAACTCGTCCGAAAATGCCTCGTGAATCGTGTAGAACAAAGGCTTTTCTTCGCAAGTACTTGACCGTTTCACTTCGTTTTTCGCATTTTTTCCGCTCTATAGCACCCTGCTAGCATTTTAGACCCAAATTTGTATGTGTACAAATTGTCGTGCCATGTACCTTACAACGTGACGGCGGAACTTTTAGTCCTGCGGCGCAAAGGGATGGGCTTACCCTTGCCAAAATTCCGCTACTCATAGAAATGAACAAAATTTCTCATTATCTGCTTTTTACTTCCTCGCGCTTTCAGCAAGTGCTCGATTTCACTGGAATACAACCCTATGACGGTGTTAAACTCATGTGCTACCCCTAGAATTACAAGTTATCCCGAGAGAACGGTTACAGGACTCTTGTCTACCAGAAGTGCTTCTGCTGCCAGGGCCGAGAGGTATTTTCTCATCGCAACAGTTGTCAAGTTCTTGACAAGTATCCTGAGACGCCGCGTGCCCCCCCCCCCCAAATACGTGCTTGCCACTTTTTCCAAGAGAGAGGAATCGTTATCTTTTTTTCAGAACAACACTCAATTCGGGGTTGTACGCGATCGATTATTCCATGCGATGTTGGTCAAAGTCGCGCTGAGTTATAGCTCACATGTGAGCATATTTTGGCGACGAATTATTGAATTCATTTCATTGTTAATAGTAAGTTTATTCAGTAGCTGGTTATTTCTTTTCGGCGCTAGTCCAGTGTAGATAAGCGTGCAGTATAGATATACGTCGAAGCATCGAAGGCGTTTTAAACCATTACATTGCTCGGCGTTGTGCGCCGCTGGAGGGCCAGCCAGTCTGCGATTTTTCTTCTGCACCAGGTTGCCCATATGGTATGATGCGACTTTGAAAGAGAGAGAGAGAGAGAGAGAGAGGGAGAGAGAGAGAAACTCCGAAGTTGAATGACTCGCTTTGGAGGTTCCCATTTTCTCCAAATGCTAAGCAGTTCACCTATCGCGGACCCTTCCTCTCAAATCTTGCAGGCTACCATGGCGCCGATGCAGAATTTCAGAACGATCTCTTCAGAAGCACACAGCGCTTACTGTTTTTTTTTGTTGCAGATGGCCATGAAAAGCTCCCGCCTAAGTTGGAGGGTGGCAGAGCTGCAGAATGGGCGAAGTGCTCCACCCACTCTCGTGGCTCTCCCCTTACGTCTAGGTAAAAATCCTCGTATCTTGCATGCAAACTTCGATTTTCCAGTACTAAATGAAGATACTGAAAAATCTACGGTAACTTTGTCCGGGGGCCACTCGGAAACTTGGCTGTATGTGCTCAGACCAGACTCTTGCCGCACATCCGACTTGCCCCACTGGAATCGACAAATTTTGAGCCTTGCATCACGATACAGGTGGAGCCGCTTGAGGGCGCCGCGTGCCCCCCCCGTTGAATGACGTACAAAGGAACAGTGGTGACGACTGTCGCAAGTACCTTTCGTGCCTTTAACTAGCATAGAGTTCACTTTAATTGAAAATGTTGTGCACTAGTTGGTGGACTAGCGCCTCATCATTTTCATTTTCTAATGAACTTGGTTACAGGCTTTGTGCTTGTTATTCACTTTATTATTCGTTCATTTGATGTTCACTCGATCATCGGCTACATGTCTAGATCATATACGAGATACATGGCCGAGAGATGGTATGTGGTTTATGACTAGTGTTGTTGAACTTTATGCCGTTAGCTATCTCACCCTTATTTCTTAACGTTTCTTGATTTTTCGATGCTTCTCTGCTCTTTTGTACCTTTGTTGAATAGTCTTCAGCCATCCGGTGGGTCACTGTTCCGGAACCTCGTGCTCGCTGTCTTGCGGCACTCTACAAGGTGGTTTTATGGTAGACAAACCCCTCGATTGTTATACTGTATGCGAAAGTAACTTCAGTTCCAAATCTCGGCTGCTCGAAGTGCTCTCCAAGAAGTAGGCGCCAAAAAAATCATCGGAGAATACTCCCAAGTAAGGAAAGGGCAGCCCCTGTGGACGAGTTGTCTGAACCTGCTCGTTTTATGAGAGCAGAGCGACACCCTGCCGCCTCGATTCGTTTCCTCGCGTCATACGATGTTGAGCGTCAGAAAGCGTCAGAACTGTCACCTCTGAGGGCAGCAGCGCCTTCGTTACTTATCGTGAAGCCGCAAAGTATCTACCAGTATGTGAACCTGACTACTTATACAAGAAAGGTCGCCTTGTTCGAGCGCTGGAAATATCTTTAACCAGAATTCTCATCGACGGAACAGCTCAGAATCATTTTCTCGCGGTATCGCTTGGCTGAGCTTTTGAAGGGAGCAAAGGAAAGAGCAGCAGTGCGATGAACTGAGGGAACGAAGTACTCGTAGACCAAGTATTTGGTAGAAAGACCTACGTATGCGCTGTATTATATACGTTGTTTTGGGCTCGAACATCAGCACTGGCGTCTTTTAGCTTTAGTTTTGTGTGATCGGTGATATATTCAGCTAATTTGTTTTTACTTTGTCTTGTATTGTCTTATAGAATGGATGTCCCATAAAGTCTTGGGTGGTCTTTTATTGATTTTGTGGGTGAAAATCAGCATTTCGACACATTCATTTTGCTCTTAATGGAGGCGCTAAAGCCGATAATGCTGCTCGAAGGGATGACTCTAGTAAACGTGATAGTGCCGAGGCGGCGGGGTGATCCTTCTCTTACTCAGGCTTTGTTGGGCACAGACTACAGCAACATGCGTTCGGCCTACTCACGTTAAAACCCCATCACGTTTTTGAATGTTTTCCATCAAGTGAATGTGACGATTAGCAGGACTGTGGGGCAGGTTATGTCAACCTTTCCGCCTTTTGACGTGGATCTTCGAGGAGTTACCTATCGAGTGTCTGTAGGATACTCAGCATAGCATCTGGAGGGATTTATCGGTCAGCAAGTTGGAACCGCTGAGACCTTACAATTTAGAGACTCCGAGCGAACCCCGAAAGGTCCATCAGGACAGCAGTACGCCTACCAAATAAACTCCCCAAACTTATGAATGTGAAGCGTTCCCAATGAGGTGCAGTCGCCCAGTTACTCGCGCGATTTTTAAAAGAATTGATTGGCTCTTTTCTTTCATTTTTCTCCAGAATTATTTTCATTACTTTTGCGGTTCACTGTTTTTATTGCTTAGTACATTAACGACGTGGTCAAGCATGGTCAGCAGGTGTGGCCAGCTGAAGTTTACGATGTGGTCTTATTGGTGTACTAATTTTCTGATTTCAGGGGTTATACGACTGGAAGTTGTACACAATCTACGCACACTGGAGTATAAGGAAAACTGGATCAACTGGTATAGTGAGTGATTCTATTCAGCTATCATTCAAATGGTTTTTATTGAGTCAAAAGTCAGCCCAAAAGTTGACAAAGGGCTTGATCATCGGTACCATCACTGCAGAAAATGAACGGAGCCACATGACATGTTCTTTCAATCCGGCCGATGTGTTTCTGTATGGTCCTCGAGCCATGCCAGCTGAAGTGCGAGAAGGACGGGGAAGACCTTTGCAGAAAATAAAACATGAGGTATTTTCTGGTTGTTTCCTCACAGTTTTCGTTGATTGATGTTTCTGAAAATATTCAGCACGCTGAGCGTGAAGCACACAGTGGATCTAGTCTTTTGAGCTACTTTCTTCGTGTACCCACGGAATTGCTTCTAAATAATGATGATACGCCTGACTATGGCGAATCAGCTGTATGTTTGACTACTTCTACTACCAACAATTACTTTTGTTTTTTTTAATATTGATTGCATAGGATGATGTCGACAATCAATACGGAGACGTTATTTATGAACAGGAGGCTGATGCTGAAACAGCGTTTAGCGAGCACTTCAGAAAACACTTTAGTGAGTTTCTTTGAAGTAGCTCTCTATCAAACAACTTCCGCAGTGAAATTACACTGATTAGAAGAGAAAGACTGTTTCACGATAGTTGATTCGAGCGCTTGCATATGCCGCATAGCATATCTCGAAGAAAAATTATGCAACCAGTCCATTCATTCAAAAAAAAGTAATTAGACATGAGTAGAAAAACCACTTCAAAACAGCAAAGGTTCCTCTTTCTCCCGACATCGGACAAGGGATTGTTATTTTGGCAACTCTAAATTGTGAGCAGCGCCGACTTTTTCCTGAAATGCCAATTTTTTTTCGGATAAGGACGTGAAATAGAAGGTGCAGTATTGTCGTCTGCGTACGCTGGGCGTTGCAGGAACTGGCTCCGGCGAGGCGCCAGCCGGTTCTCCACCAGTTGTCACGGACTGTGGTCACCTGCCATTTTTCACGAGAGGTGAGGAACAGGCTGGTGTTGCGCAAAATCCAGCCCTCTGACACGCCCTAGCGTGAGCAGCGAACAAGGCATTATTGGGCGTAGACCACCATGTCCTAACGACGTAGGCCCAGTTGATTCGACGTGTATGTGTTGTGTCGAGTCAACTAACTAGGATTGTTGGTTTGCGGGCGTCGCAGCGCCTCGGATGCCTTGGACTAGGCTCGAGAAGACCATTTTTGCTGGGGATATGGCATGTGGCACTTCCAAACCTTAACCTTCCATTCACTATCCGTGGAATCTCTGAAAGTAAGATGTTTATTCTAGAACCGGAAGACGCGTTTCCGCTATGAGTATCGAGTGGAGTACTCACTATTATACGGTATCTTACGCCTACCTGTTTCTTTTCGCCACAAGCACAATATTACAACGCTCTGGGCAAGGGTAAGTTCTTTTCGCTTTGAAACACGATAGTTCTGTCTCTTAAACCTAGCAGGGATTCTGCTCAGGTTGACGCCGACTCGGAATGCTTCGGTGACACTTTTTCTCGCCGAGTTATGCGGGCTGTAGTTGGTTTCGAAGACGTGGTGATGGCAAGTCTTCGCGCTCTTGCTCAAAATTCATCTGAAGATGGTGCGTTGTTAGTTTGGAAGCAAGCAACAATGGTTTCGTTTTCCTTTCTTGACCTTTTTCAAAGCTTTTGTCAGTCGCTCTGTAAATAGTTAATAAAAAAATTCTAGTTTCATGTAGTAAGTATCACGGCGGTTACCTTCGGGTACTGCCGTTGAAAATGTTTTTAAGGGAAAGATTCCTTCCTCTGCTATTCAGTATTTTTCTTCACTTGAATATTCGCTGTTTCAGATGGTGCCGGACTTGGATATCTTCATGATTTGTCTACTAATGAGCACTTCCACTTCGTTTCTTTCATGATGTCCAAAAGTAGCTACATCACCGCGGCTATTGTAATGTTGATATTTGTAAGTAGTTTATATTACGTCTTGCGACTACGTTTCTCGCTTTTCAGGAATATTGCGACCGATAACACTGTTCCGAATTTTCAAGCTGATATTGTTTGTTAACTGATACCGTTTCG